TTCAGTCCAGCTTCAATCTGTAATTTCCGACATTCCCAATACAAATATTATATATTCTCTCAGTATCTATTATGTTCTCTCAGTATCATTTATTCATGCTGTTCTGTTCTGTAAGAATTTATGACTGTGTGAATTCATCAAAGTGTGCGAATGTGTCTGGGTAAGCTTTGTGGGATTGTCTTTACTCAAAAATGTACTGGAGAGAGGGAGAGAGGGAGAGAGAGAGAGAGAGAGAGAGAGAGAGAGAGAGAGAGAGAGAGAGAGAGAAAGAGGATTACTATAGGGGCTGTGCGCTTCATATGTTCTTTGTATTATTGTACAGCGCTTTGAGCACTTCTTTGTGGAAATGCGCTATATAAATGCAATTTATTTATTTATTTATTTATTTATTTATTTATTTATTTATTTATTTTGGAGGATCTTAACGATGGAATCTATTTTGATTTCGAATAGGAGAGGAGAAAGGATGCTTCCCTGGGAAACACCTTCCTCCTGTTGGTGGGGGTCTGAAAGGGAGGATCCCAAACGAACCCGGAAGGAAGGGTTCTTCTGGAAGTTGTCAATTAAGGCATGGAGGTGACCGCGTATGCCGAGTGCGTGCAGGTCTCTGAGAATGCCGTACTTCCTGGTTGTGTTGAAGGCTTTTACTATGTAAAACAAGATTGCGATCACGTGGCCTCCTTCGGCAAACATCTCGCATATAATTAGAATAAACGTCTCCTGGCGGACCAGGTGATCTAGAATGGATCGTGTCTTCCTGAATCAGCACTGGAGACCGCCCAGGGAGCCCGTTGTCTCTAGAAAACTCATGAGTCGCCTGTGAACATTTTTTTCTATGAGCTTACACAGACAGCACGTCAGTGCTATTGGTCTGTAATTGGATGGGTGTGTGTGGTTTTTGTTTGATTTGGGCAATGGAATGACAGTGGCAAGACGCCAAAACTCAGGAAATGAGTGCCACCGCCACATGTCGTTGTATATGTCTAGTAGGAGTGTAAGTGTTTCTGAGGGTAAGTGTCTAATGATCTGGTTGTGGATGTCATCCGGTCCCGGGTAAGAATTGCCGAGGTCCGAGTTGTACGATGTTAGTTCGTCTAATGTGAAGTCTGCTTTGTAGGTTTCAGTGTTGTTTGAGTGGAAGTTTGAGTGTTGTTATTCTGTTAGTTTTGATGTTTTGGATGGTGGTGTTGTACTTTGCTTTGAATGAGTTTTTAGAGAGAGATGTAGCTATTGTGTTTGCGATGTCTACCTGTGTTTCAGCTGTGGTTCCACCCGGCCCCTGGACGTTCCGGATGGTGTCTGTTCGTCAACCCAATTTTTTAAAGGGAATTTAAAAAACCTGGTTCAGTGGTGTCTGGCTGTTCATCTTGGAGATGTATTTTCAGAATAATTGTCTATTGCTCTCTCTGAGGCATCTTCGTGCCTCATCTCGAGGTTTTAATTAATTAATTTTTTTTTCTGTGGCGGTGTTGTTGACGGCTTTCCGATATGCTGCCTTCTTTTTCTTTACTGCATCATCACATTCCTCAGAGAACCAGATCTTGTTCATCCGGGGTTTTGGAGAGGTTTTTGGTATATGTTTGTGGCATATTTCTAGAAGTATTTCTTGTATTTTTTTTTTGTAGTTGAAGTCGAAAGTGGGATTCAGAATCTGGGAACAATCAATGGCGAACCTTTTGAAGTTGAAGAATTCTGGGATTGGATCATTTTGGAGGCTATTGTTTTAAGAAGAATTGGGAAATGGTCCGTACGGTCATCCACCGAAGACCACTCAAGATCTGTGACTAGGTCAGGGGTACAAAAGGTGAGGCCAAGGGATGACGTGAAGTGCCAAAAGTGGATCTGTTTTTGTTAGTTGAGGACCTATCATTTAAGAGGCAGATGTTATTTTGAAATATAAAAAAATCTTCTATTGTTTTTCCTTTCTGGTGTGTGGGTTTGTCTCCCCAAAGGGGACTGTGGACATTAATGTCACCTGGCAAAATAAAGGGTTTCGGGAGCAGGAGCTTTAATTTATTTAGTTGGGTTATTTTGAGGGGGTAGTTTGGTGGGATATAGACAGAGCAGATCATGATTAGTCTGTGCAGGGTGACCCGTACGGCAATAGCCTGGAGGGTCGTCCTAAGATGTACTGGTCTGTGGAGTGTTGTTGTCGGCGTAGATGGTGGTTCCTCCGGAAGCAATCTGGTTCTCCGTGTGAATGTGAGGATATGCAGTAAATCCTCTTTAGTCTATGATTGAAGCCGGGCGAACTTTGTTTCCTGTTCACAGGCCATAAGTGCGCACAGTGTGGCCTGTAAGTGTTGAAATTTTATATTTGGAGCGTGCAGGCCCCGGCTTCGAAGTAACACTCTGACTCCTCTTTGCGGCGGAGGCAGAGTGTTTTCTAGACAGCCGTCCTGGATTGGACGGCGCCCTAGTGGGGGATTTGGAGGAGTGACCGACTCCGCCCTTCCCGGGGACAGGTCGGGGAGGGGGGGTCGGAGCTGTCATCCTCTATTGGTAGTGGGGGAATGTTGGAGGCGTAGGGGGAGGTGGAGCAGACGGATGGGGCTGGGGAGAGGGGGGAGGAGACACCTCACACTCCATCAAAGAGGGAGGAGGTGAGGAGGAAGAAGAAGAAGAAGAAGAAGAAGGGATAGAAGAGGGGGTAGAGGAGGAAGAGAGTACAGGAGGTAGAGGAGGTCGGTAATAGAGGTACTGATTGACTTCGTGACCACCCAGACTGCCTTTGAGTATAGCCGGCCAATGACTGGGGTCATAATTGGCGGGCAGACAGTCTTTCGGGCCTCCTGGAATGAGCAGCCTTCTCGCGCCTTGTACTCTTGGATGGCGCGTTCTTGGAGCCAAGTCGGGAACTCCATGCTGAAAACTATGAACTGGCCGTGGCTATTGGGGAAACAAGGACTAGCCTTGAATTCCTTTTCAGAATGCCCGGCCTTGCCACAGAGAGGACACACGGATGCGTGTCAGCATCTCGACTGACTGTAATCGAACGCCTGACACTTGAAACAGCGCAGAGGGTTTGGAACATGGGGTCGCACGTCTAAGACCAAGTACGATGCCCTAATGGTGGTTGGAGGGCGACATGATTCAAATGTGTGTACAATCGTGATTGTGTCAATAGTGGTCTCCCCCGCCGAAGAGTAATCCGTCGGGCTTTGACCACCCCCTCACAGTTCACAATTTCGTTCATGGAGTAGCCTTTCAGCTCACAGCAGCGGACGACGCCCTTCGAGCGGTTAATCTTCTGGTAACGCTCGGACTTACATGTTATACTGCCGAAGGTTGTGGTATCCAGGAGTTTGGTCACCTTGTCCTCAGTTGTGCACTTGTCAAGAAGTGCACTACAGGAAAGTTTCTGTACACATGTGGGGATGTATCCTAGAACTGTCCGCAGTGCATCTTTTGTCTTAAAGAGGTTCAGATCGGTAACTTTTCTCTGTGCGTCTTTTGTATCGGAGATGGCCTCGTACGGCTGCCTCGGAGGCTCCTTGTAAAGGTCCTTCTGCCTTTGGATTTGCTCTGCTCGTTGACCGCATCCGCTTCCGTGAGCCGAGACTTTTTTACGTTGGGAGCTGGGGAAGAGTCAGTAGAAAGTTTGGAATCCATCTGAAATTTCAAGGTGGTTCGGTACCGGGCTCCCCGCCCGCCACCGAGCCTAACAAGGTGACACATTGCTGGGATAACCGGAGCTGTACCTGGGCTTCCCCGGAGCTAAACTCTTCGCGAGAGTGTACAGGACCCTCTGATCAAGACTGGCCCAGGGCCTGAAGGAGTTTCTGCTCTCAACCGATTGAGTAACATGGGCCGAGCCACCCTCCCGTCTAAGAGGAAAACCTGGGCCAAAGAAGTGTGTTGGCGAGGGACAGTCCACAGACTGATCTCGCCTCAACCGCCAGGTACTCTATTTCGCTCTGCACGGGTCGCACCTCACGGTCAACGAGGCGCCCACTCTGTGGGATGGGTGACCTCTAGTTTTGCTCCACATGCGATCGACAGTGGAAGCAGAGATACAAAAAGAAAGAAAGAAGGCAGGTGTCGCATTTGGATCACAGAGGGTTGGGGTCCGTGTGCGACATCTCGTCATTGAAGGGGTTACACCTCCTGCAGACGAGCCATTGGGTCTATTTATATCGGGGGTGTTTCTACTGCTGCTCCTTGGTTCATTCGCACTGCTGTCTTTCAGCCTCTTGGATAAGGGTGAAAAATCTGGGAGGTCCCGTGTACAAGTTGTGCACCTTAAAGATCCCTTGGTGGCCCAAAATTGATAAGAGTAGGCTTTGGCCGCAACCAGGGCAAAATTCTAAATTTTCCTAACAACTGAAAATGTTTGGTGTGTCTTGCGCACTCATATGACCTTATGCAGTTGCGATCACGTAACCCCCCCCCCCCCCCCCCGACACACACACACACACACACACACACACACACACACAATTAAGATTGAGATATAGTGGTGGCCTTCATCTCAAAATCCATAATTTTGACCTGAATAGGGTTTTTCAGGGACCCCCCCCCCCCTGCCCTTTAAGTTCCGTGATGGTCATGTAATAGTCTAGTACTGTAAACTTTTATAAACCTTGGTTGGAACCTTGAAAGGGAAATGGGAGGTACACAACCCCCTCCCCCCAAAAAAAACAAACAAAAAAAACAACAACAACCCAACAACAACAACAAAAAAGCACACAAAAAACAACAACAACAACATCAAAACAAACACACAAAAAGAACAAAATAAAGAAACAAAACAAAAACCCAACAAAAAACGATCCCCGCCCCGCCCAATAACAACAACGACAACAACGACAACAACAACGACAACAACAACAGTGTAGACATAGTGTAGGTGCATGGTGCAGAGCTAGAGTGCAGAGGTGCAGGTGCAAAATGAAAGCAGACAGAAGAAGAGAAAGTTTGATCCATCAGGGCCACCCTCCGACTCCAACCACCCGCGGTGATTTGTTTAAAAACGAGAAAGAAAAAGCAAAACACAGGAAGAAAGTTTCCACTTTTAGTACCGACAATTTGCGTAAAAGTGCAATTGCTGCCACAGACAATTCGCGCAAATGTACAATTTCTGTCTTTAAAAAAATTGTCCAAAAGTACAATAATAGATTGTCTTTCAACAAAAACTGTACCGAAAGTTGTGGTACAAAACTCGACAAGTTCACATTTAGACGCATAAAAACGTGGGGGGTTGGGGGTTGGGGGTCGGGGGTGGCAGGGGGTCCCGTATATCAACAAGGGTAGTCGCGTGACGTCATGATGAGAGGTTTGCCAGGCAACACAGGTTCCCCGTGAGCACACATCTCTGTCCTGGGGGAGACAAGGGGAGGGGGAGGGGGTGGAGTTAGACAGGTTAGTTTGTTTTAGTAGAGGTTTTACGACGCTCGCAACTGCATAAGGTCATTTGAGCGCCTAGGGGAGGATGTCAACAGAGAAGTCTTTACAGGGAATCAGGCTTACTCTGCTCACCTCTCTAGCTGCTTCAACAGCACAAAGTCTGCTTCGACTGTGAAGGCAAACAGGAAATACCTGGTCACAAGAGTGACAAACATACAAAAGGAGTAGAGAAAAAATGACGATAGCCTAGTAAGCATTAGGAAAGAAAAAAGGAGAACAAGAAACACCGCCGATCTCATGTGGATCAGTTCAGGCACAGTTATGCTCATGACATTGGTGAATCAGTCCATTTACACTGTGCTTGATTGATTTGATTGGGTAGATGTTTTACGGCACTATCGACACAATTTTGGTCATTTAAGCGCCATCAGGTTTCACCGCTACAAAATCA